CACGAGCTCGACTTCAACAATATGTCTCTCTCTCTGACTGCAGTTCAATTACTTACTACCTACACACACACTGTCACGTCACGCCGTGACCATCTTATATATACCAGATTACCCTATATCTAGTAATCTCCGACAATTCCCGAAGGTTCGAGAGAACGAGTGGCGTGACACTAGTCACGTGACCTCGCTGACGCAACAATATACAAGATTATGCGCTAATATTTGCTCACTACATGGCATATTATCAAAACGGACATATTATTATATATTTACATAAACTTAAACTTTCAGTTTTATCTTACCTGTGCCATGCCCAAGTTTTTGAAGATGCACCAATGTTTTGATTTTCTATTTTTTCGCGGAGTGTATAAAAATTGGAAAGATGAAAATTTCCAACCACTGTATTAATTTTGTCATTTTGTGAGGTAGAATAATAACGAAATTATGAAAATTTTCAATACATTTTAAATTTTGGAAAATAAATAAAAATTTGAATTAAAAAGCATACACACACACCAGATGCTCTTCCAGTCTTTGTTATTTCACTTCTCATGTAAGAGAGAATAAACAATAACTGAATAAGTAAGATTAACTTAAAATATCAAGGATGTTGTATTTATTAGGTGGGTTCGAATCCCCGTCCCACCAAACATGCTCGCCCTTTCAGCCGTGGGGGCATTATAATGTGACACTCAATCCCACTATTCGTTGGTAAAAGAGTAGCCCAAGAGTTGGCGGTGGGTGGTGATGACTAATTGCCTTCCCTCTAGTCTTACACTGCTAAATTAGGGACGGCTAGCGCAGATAGCCCTCGTGTAGCTTTGCGCGAAATTCAAAAACAAGCAAAAACAAACAATTTATTAGGTTAGATCTATATAATTCATTTGCATAAAGAAATATTGTGCTTAAAATATTAACTCAGCAAAGGGAATCTTGTGTATATAAGGTCTAAATTAAGCTTTTTTGTAAGAAATGTGTAAATTAAATGTTACAAAACACACAAAGTATTCACAGTCACAGAATATATGACATTGTGTTTATTGGAATAAAATAACGTGATTTGTTGGCTCAAGGACATTTTTTGTATTTATTAGGTCAATAAACAAACTGTCACGATTATTAAGTTGACGTGAAGGTGGCGTTTC